CCCCCCCCCCCCCGCTTCCAATTTCATTATCTTCGTTTTGACTTTAAAAAAATATACATATATATCAATAGGGACCAGTCTGTGCAAATGACGTCAACGAGTGTGCGAATTTTGCTGGGACCGACTTGGGCTGTCAAAATGGCGCTACCTGTGAGAATTTACCTGGAAGATACCGGTACATTTTTTTTACTCGGATTGACACGAGGCGTTTTATAGTAACACTTAGTTTAACGTTTTTTTTATTAATATTTTAGATGCGTTTGTACCATAGGCTGGTGGGGTCAACATTGCACGAGAAAGACCAATGATTGCAATATGCAAAATTCTAATGAAATGTGCGGTCACGGTAACTGTATTAACAAACCTGGAACTCCACTTGGCTACACCTGCATATGCGATCAAGTAAGCTTTATCATCGTGAAGAGGATGATATTAAAAAAAGAAAAAGATGAAATGAGTCATCATTGTCTGATTGGAAAATATTTGAAAAACAGGGATGGGAATCCGATGGGTCTGGTCCAGCTTGTACAAAGGATGTTGACGAATGTCAAGGAAAGAGACCAGCATGTTCTGTGAGTCCGTTGGTACAATGCATTAACGTTCCTGGTTCATTTCATTGCGGCCCGTGCCCTGCTGGATATACCGGAAACGGCCACTACTGTGCGGATATTGACGAGTGTGCCACTAACAATGGCGGCTGCAGTATTACACCCCGCGTGCAATGTATCAACACCATGGTAAAGAGCGTTACGATATTTATTAATTAAAAAAAAAGAAAAATCTGTCCACGTCGTTCTGGACTTCCGATGTTTCAGGGTTCCAGGTTCTGTCAACCCTGTCCTCCAGGATACACAGGAGACGGAATATCATGTACATTTGTTGATGCATGTCTTAATAATGGCGGCTGCCACCCATTGGCCCAATGCATTAAATCCCCTACGAATTCGGAATATCTCCTGGGATGTCAATGTCCTGTAGGATATCACGGAAATGGAATAGGTCCTCGAGGTTGCATCCAGGGTTCTATTACAGAGGACATGACGGAATGCGCAAGCAATCCTTGTATTCACGGCACCTGTTCCCCTCGTGGATTCCACGATTACGTCTGTAGATGTAATCCTGGATTTACCGGTGAGGTCCTAGAGGAAAAGGAAAGATCCTAATATTACGTTACACCCGTCTGGGTATCGCTGATGTATTTTTATTCTCCAGGAAGAAGGTGCGATACCGCGATCGAATTGTGTAATCCAAATCCTTGCAAAAATAGCGGCACTTGCAGAGTCTCCGACGCAGGAGCCGAGACTTGCGTTTGCACAACAAGTTTCTCAGGGCCACGATGCGAAACCCCGCGACAAAATTGCGGCGGACTCCTGCGCGATCCTTCCGGGACATTGCAATTCCCTGTGAACGATAACGTCTATCAGCCATTGCAGAGTTGCCTTTGGATTCTCCTGACCAACGAGTCTTTAGTCCTTAACGTGACATTCACTGCCTTCAACCTGGAACCATCGCCGGAGTGCTCGTACGATTTTCTTCAGGTAAAGAATATTAAGTATTCGTTATGTATTTCTATACTAATTATAAATACATGATTTACATGATATTTTATTTCAAAGATAAACGACGGTCGAACTGTTGCTTATCCTTTAAAAGGTCGTTACTGCGGCAACAATTTACCTAATGACGGAAACATCATCTCTTCCCATAATGCACTCTATCTGTGGTTCCGTTCCGACCATTCCACATCCCATAGTGGATTCACTCTGGAATGGAACTCAATAGAACCGGTTTGCGGTGGGGAAATATCTGCGGACAGCGGCTCTATTATGTCACCAGGACTACCAGGAAAGTATCCCCCCAATAGAGATTGTTATTGGAGGATCAGTGTCAGCCCGGGACGCAGAATCCAATTCCACTTCGCGTTGATGATGATTCAAGAAGGTCCCACCTGCGAGAAGGATTATCTTGAAGTAAGAATAGTGATATATAATTATCTTATGGATGAAGTATATTGATGTTATCTACTGATCTTTTAAGTTCTTAAATGGTATGGACGAAACGAAATCACTTGCAAGATATTGTAATCACACGACACCATCTCCGCTGATTACCAATGAATATAGGACGACTCTTCATTTCCATTCCGATGGGAGCATACAGGACAATGGATTCCACGTGACATTTTCCAGTATTGAGGGTAAACTTTAATTTATATTGATATATCGTACAAGGATAGATTACATTTTATTTTTCTATTTTATCTCAGGTACGCCAGGATGCGGTGGAGTTTATACGTCAAGTAAAGGTGAAATTTCATCACCACAACATGTTTTGAATTACGAGTTTTCTATGTTTTGTGATTGGAAGATACAGCTTCCGCAGGGAGAACGAATCAAGATCACGTGGATAACGTTTGATCTGGGAGAATCATATTCTTGTGTTCTCAATTACGTTGAAGTAAATGAATTGAACCAATTTTTTTAACCATACGACAGATATTTCTTAACATAATTATTAATGCGTCATTTGATTTTTTTTAGGTTTATTACGGTCCTACCACAGACTATCCTTCATCCGGTCGACACTGCCGCAATCAATTGCCACATTCGATTACAACAGATACGAATGTAGTTCTGATCAGATACAAATTGAGTTTAGGATTCACTGAAAAAAGTTTCCGTTTGAGATACGAAACTGCATGTGGTGGTGAATTCACAGAACCTACGGGAAATCTAAAATCGCCGTATTATCCAAAACCTTATCCCGCCTCAATAACTTGCGTGTACGAGATTGCTCAGCCGCCTGGAAAATCCATAGAACTTACGATACACGACCTTGATATCGAATCTTCTATCTTCGATAATTGTGTTTTCGACTATTTGGAAATTCACGATGGCGATAATGAAAATTCTACTCAGATTGGAAAGTACTGTAAGAACAAACAGACGATACCTAATAACCCAATTTACTCCACTCACAATTACTTGTATCTGAAGTTCGTTTCGGACTACAGTACACAACATAAAGGGTTCAACGCCAGCTACACTACCATTGATACCAGTATGTGTCTAATTGTCAAAAGCTTTCTCTGTTTCCAGGTAAACTGTGACATTTTTTTAAAATTATTTTTCCTAGGATGTGGAGGTATTTACAAAGGACTGACTGGGGTTATCCAGACCCCAAATGAAGATGGGACTTATGCAAATGACGACGACTGCACGTGGGTAATTCAAGCTCCGGTTGGACACGTGGTTCAACTTACATGGACGACATTCAATCTGGAATTCCATAGAAATTGCGAGAATGATTATGTTTTAGTATTTCAAAATGCATCAGACTCACAATCAGATGAAACAAATTTCATAGGAAGGTATGTGAACTTCCTAATGGAATTCACTTTTCCGTTATTTGGTATTGTATAGATTATAAATTTGTACATAATTACAGATATTGCGGTTCTCACGTTCCTCCTATGTTGGTAACTCAAGAGCGAACGATGACTATTATTTTTCATTCGGACTGGGCTATCAGGAGAGAGGGATTTGTCGCCTCATACGTATTCTTGGACGCGAGCAAAGTATGTGGCGGACATTATTATAAATCGAACGGAGTGATAAGATCGCCAAACTATCCTAACAATTATCCAACGAGCAAAAACTGCATTTGGATAATCGAAGTGCCACGTGGACAGAAAATCACACTTAAGCGGGAAAGTTTTCTTTTGGAGGGATACTCGTCGTGTTACTTTGATTATTTGGAAGTCAGGTGAACAATATATATATAGAAAGAGAGAGTCATTCTCGCGTTGAAATACTGACATTCCTCGTGAAACCAAAATTGAATTTTCTTTTACCACAGAAACGGTGGATCCGCGACTTCTCCACTTTTTGGCAAGTACTGTAACGAGCAGCTACCCGATGAAATCACAAGTTTCACTAACCAGCTTTATCTCAAATTTGTATCGGACGGTACAGTGACTCGTAGTGGTTTCAGTATACAGTGGGAAAGCAAGATTACGGGTAATCTTGTAGCTCTTTTTTTTCTTCTTCAACAAATAGAACCTAGCAATATGTATAAAATCAGTACTCATTCTCGTATGTTAATTTTTATCCAGGATGCGGCGGAGAGTTAAAAGGATCCAGCGGAGAGTTTACTTCGCCTTATTATCCTGAACCGTATCATATGAATGCCGATTGCCTATGGCAGATAACAGTTTCCGAAGGAAGCTTCATCCAGCTACATATAGTAGATTTCGAACTGGAATCTACATATAATTGCCGATTGGACTACGTCGAGGTATTCGACGGTACGGAATACCAAAGTAAGAGTTCAATGCGTTACTGTGGAACGGAGCATCCTTTAGTGATCAATTCAACGTCCAACATCATGACTATCAAGTTCCGTTCTGATTATTCGGACAATCTTCGAGGATTCTTCATGAGGTTCAAGACCGGTAAGTGCGCAGAAATTTTATTACAGCATAAAGTAGAGTATTGATTAATGATGACTGATTGATGTATATAATCCTATCAACAGGATGTGACAATACATTACGCGGATTTTCTGGTGTGATCGAGTCCCCGAATTATCCCGAGAACTATCCGCACTCAGCCAATTGCACCTGGAGGATTGATGTTCCAATCGGAAACAAAGTGAACATAACCTTTTTCGATTTTGAGATGGAGGTACCGTTTGACGATTCTTGCCGCTTTGATCGGGTTGTGATCAAAGAAGGTGAAGACGACACCCCTAATAGAGAGCTTGGAACATTTTGTGATGTCGAGAAAATTCCGCGTCTCATCTCGTCCACTGAAAATCAGGTTTTCGTAAACTTCATCACTGACTTCACCACCGCTCGTAAAGGCTTCCGGCTGGAGTGGGTTATTAATGGATGTAGCAAGCGTTTAAAAAAACCGTATGGATTCATTACGTCACCAGGATATCCAAAGGGCTATCCGGAAAATGTTGACTGCGAGTGGTTGATCGAGGTCGATCAGTTACACAGTATTGAGATTACGTTCGAGGACGTTGATACGGAGAAAAGAATGTCTTGCTTCGCGGACAAGATACAGCTTTACAATGGCGTCGACCAAACGGCACCGCAAATAGCTGAATTGTGTCACACAACCATCAAGACTGTTTACACCAGTACCGGAAACAAAATGTTTATGAAATTTCATTCGGATTACCTGTACGGCGGACGTGGTTTCAAAGCGCGTTATAGGACGGTCCCGATTCAATGCGGCGGAAGGTTCTCGGGTCAAGTTGGCGCCATCCATTCGCTTAATTATCCGAATAATTATCCGAAGAATCAGCATTGCGAGTGGCTCATTCAGGTGGACGTTAATCATCTAGTGAATTTGACTTTCCTTGATTTTGATTTTGAAAGTACGAGAAACTGCACTGACGACTACGTCAAGGTACAAAATCCACGTTTCTCTTTAATTCTGAGTTCTGCAGTATTTGCAAGATTTCCATTTTCTTTTTTATCATACAGATTTTCGATGGTCCAACTACCGAAGCTCCGGTGCTTGGTAAATTTTGTGGAAATGAGCTACCACCGTCTATTGTGTCTACCAGTAACGAAATGTTAGTTCTAATGGAAAGTGACAGATACATATCGACAAAAGGTTTTAAAGCATCATACATGGTAGCTTGTGGTGCAAGAATAGTGACAGATGATCAAGGTGTAATAACACTGTCCTCGGCAGTAGGCTTACTCGGGTATGCGAATTGCACGTGGTACATAATAGCTAAGAATCTTGGTAAAGTATATTTATTTTTCATTATTTCATCGGTATTCATTATTTTTAACGATCCGTCATCTCTGCAGATGATCACGTGACATTGACATTTACACATCTGGATGTGGATCAAAATTACGGTTCTACTGACTGTGAATACAATAATGTTCAAGTATACGAAGGTGATTCCGTGGACGGACAAAGTTTGCGTACATTCTGTGGTACCAAAGTACCAGCACCAATCACCAGTCAAGGAAACGCACTGACTATACATTTGGCATCGTCGTTTGATGCCGTGGATAATCACTTTTCCGCTTTTTACTCTGTTCTCAATACAGGTTTTAAAAATTGTCTAATTACAGAAACAGTCGGCTGATACGGTTGAATGACATCGATTTTATTTTTAGCTTGCGGCGGTAACTATACGTCTGAGCACGGTACGATATCGTCACCAGGATATCCAAACAGTTATCCAAAGAACGTGGAGTGCGTTTGGATAATTAATACCTCGCCAGGAAATCGAATTAGCTTTAATGTGGATGACTTTGATCTTGCGGAAAGTAATGAATGCGGAATGGACTATTTGGAGGTGCGTGAAAACGATGGCAGCGGCAAGATCCTTGGTTTCTGGTGCGGCAACAGTAGTCCGAGCCTCGTGGCGAACGCGAGTCTTTGGATTAAATTCCGAAGCGACGAACTTGGCTCCAACAAAGGATTTGTCGCGGAGTATAGCTTGTTACATGGTAATGATATTCATGGAGTAAGTGGAAAGATTTCTTCTCCGATGTATCCAAAACTTTACCTAAAGGCTCAATCACATACCTGGCGAGTTACCGTGGATGATGGATATATCATTAGAATAAACTTCCTTGATTTTCACCTGGAAAAAGATCATTATGGTTGCAATAGTCAGTTGTTGGTAATTATTTTGGACTTTTATATAAAATATTTTTTTTTTAATTACAAAAATGTTCATGCGATGATTTTCATCTTTTATAGATTTACGATGGGTATGATAGTGATGCTCCAGAGTTACTAGATGAATGCGGCTTGGAATTACCGGAGCACGTAACCACAAGCAGTAATATGGCTTATATTAAAATGTCCAATAATTATCTGTTCAGTGGTAGTTCCTTCCTTCTCGAATGGCTTCAGGTACCCAAAGGACCATCGTCCCTGCCTCGTAAGTGGATCTTGTTGTAGACTTGTGAAAACTGAAAAAGTAATTCAATTCTTCTCCTTGCAGCATCCAATTGCTCGGACGTGATTTCGTTCTCTGAAATAGGAAAAAAAACGTATACTTTCGAGTCTCCGGGATATCCAAATGGATATGCTGGGAATCTCGTTTGCAACTGGATTTTCGAAAGTCCACCGGGAACTCATTTGATTATGTACTTCAATCACATGGATCTCGAGGAAAGTTCTACCTGCCTATGGGATTACGTTGCTGTTTACACAATGACTGGTGAACTTTCTGAAAGTGGCGATTGGTCCTTGAATAACAGATATTGCTTGAAAAATGCTACGAGATCTGAAATTCGTGGAACAAATCTGATGAAGGTTCAATTTGTGTCGGATGTCTATAATAATAGGACTGGATTCCAAGCGGCCGTATACGAAAGTAAGTTCAGTACATTTGTATATTTTCGAATGGAATCTGCATCTTTTGATTTTCGGGATTGATAGAGTGCGGCGGTGTGTTAACTGCACCCAACGGTGTCATCGAGGTCAATTCTAATAACACTAGCCCCAATATTGCATGGTTGAGATGTCAATGGAACGTCACTGTGAGACCAGGAAGAAGAATAAACATTACAATTAATGAAATATCCATACCTCCTAAGAGTGACGGAAAATGCGGGGAAACATTTTTAATGGTAATTTAAAAATTCTTTTTCCAATATTTTCACTGATTCATTAATTCATAATATTTTATTTGGATGGATGTTTGCAGTTGAAAAATGGTGGATCTGACACGTCACCAATTTTGGACAAAGGAAAGTTTTGTGGCAACACTCCAATCTCGTCTCTTCAAACAACTGGAAATCAATTATATGTGAAGCATGTAGGATACAATCAGATCTCAACATTTAAGCTGACCTACAAGTTTGTACCAATTTCATTTTAACTATACAGTTGCTGCACCGTAATTATTTATTAAATTGTTTCTTCCCGAAATACAGAGAAGTTGGACTGGATTGTGGCGAGAGAGTCATTATGTCGAAGGATCAAAATCGGTTTGAGATATCATCACCGAATTATCCAAATATCCCACCGCCATTTTCTGAATGTATTTGGACATTCTTGGCACCGGCTGGAGAACGTCTAGCTATTCATTTTATCGACAGATTTGATCTGTCCAATAGCATAAAGTAAAAGTTATTTACATTTTAAAAAATACTATAATGTCACGTACTCACGCACGTGCCCTTAAGGTTAATAATTATTTTAATACGCCTTTAAACATAATTATTCTACATTACGCAATTCTTTTCAGCTGTGAAAAAGAGTACGTAGAGGTTCGAGACGGCGGAACCGAAATTTCTGGCTTAGTAGATCGCTACTGTTCAGACGTGGCACCTAGCAGTATTACATCGACCGGAAATAGTTTATACGTTCATTTCTACACTGAGTTGGTAGATCCGAAGAATGGGTTCAAGGCTTACATCGCCAGTGGGGGTGAGTATCTTCAAAATACATTAATTTTTTATCAAGAGACTAATCGTTGTATTTTCACAAAAAATGTGGCTCTTGCAGAAGTCTGTGGTGGAATCATTCGTAACAAAAATGGTGTTATAAGTTCACCTAATTATCCGAATACTTATAGTACAAATCAAACGTGCGAGTGGATCCTCGAGCAACCGGAGGACTTCAATTACAAGTTGAATTTCCTAGATATTGATTTGCCGCATTACGATAATTGCAATACGCAGGATCATGTTGAGATTATTGAGGAATCCCCTTTCAACAGTAGCAGTAAGTATATTATTTATTATCAATAAAATTTTATAAGGACATTGAGAAGCCGAAATGATTTTGGGTTGGTATAAACTTATTGTTGCTTCTTCTTCCACATTATGTACATTAGCTAATGGAGCTAAGGTAACATTTTTTTAGGGAATTATCAATTTAAAAAATGTGTTGTAAATATGAAGGATCTCTTCAAATCCTTATACTGCCAACTACATTAGGATTCGAGAATACTTTTTATTCTTGAAAACAGCCATTCGTTCAATTTCATTAAGACTTGCAGCGTTCTTTTTGCTTCTTCTCAGTGTATTTATCTCTTTTGGATTTTAAACTTTTTGTACAGTTCTCAAATTCTTCTACATCTTCCTTCTGGACCCGTTCTTGCATAACATTCTCGTTGCAAGTGGATTTTTTTGAATTTTTAACCTCCACCTCGTCATTACACGTAAAGTCACCATCCACGCATGAGCTTTCTTCCATTTCTTTGTCTTTCATTCTTTCCACCACAGTTTTAACTGCCTCAATGGCTTCCTCCTCGACCTCTGTAGTTTCATCCTTTTTGGTTACTTTAGATTTTTCACTTTTTCCCTTATCTTTCTTCAAACTCGAACGCACAACCTGTACCTCGGGCCGAGTGTCGGGTTTGTCAGTTTTCGAAGGTTTTTCCAAATTTCTCTTCCCCACAGGTTTTTGGCCATTTGGTAAATAATCTTCAGTGCCACCCAGTGCGTCCTCCACAATCGTCTTGGACTTTCGTAGTTTCTCAACTTTTACAAATTTCTCGTGCGTTTCCGTCTTCCTATTCCGTAATTGGTGGTCAACCTGCTTGACTTCACTTTTCCCTGAACTTTGCTCCTTATCTACTGGTGGTTCGGTATCTTTTGTAACAGCCAGATGTTCTTTTCTCTCGTACGTTGGTTCTTTATCTTCGATCGAACGTCTCTTTCTCTCTTTCGAATGAAGAATCTGCTTTGCTTTCTTTTCCCTTTTCAAGACCTCATCGACTCGTTCTCTACGGAATACACAGAAACTAATACAAAACGCCACATCTTACAGCAAAACATCAAAGTGATACAAAATCTATAGACTCACTCTTTCTGCCGACTTGCATGAAAATCATTCTGCTTCTGCTTTCCAGTTTTAGCTGTCTTTCTGTCCCGATTGGATTTCCTAGCCGACACATCGGTAATCACTAGTCCCACGACTAGAAGTACCGTGGCGACGGTCCAAAAACTAAGTTTAAAAAAAATAATTTTTCAAGCTAATTGTAACCAAAGATTATTTCAAAATTTCGTCACTCGATCAGCGTCCAGTAGCGTTGCTTACCGCATTGTTAAAAACTTCAAGAGAACTTCCCGTGGACACCAACTGTAGCAATAACTGTTATTCCAAAATATCTTTCAATTCTTCCACCTCTTTCTCTCTATATATTTTCCTTGGATATCTTGGTACCATAGAAGCGCCAATAATACTGGGCAACTAGCGTAAGGTCCGTGTCCTTTATAAGAGGCTCGTAACTCAAATCTGCCAGTAAACACAACATTCCGTCAACAGATTCTCGGGATCTTTGCTTTTACTCGGAATTCAATAGACGCGTGTGCTGCCTGGAATTCAAGCGCTTTCCTTTCTTCAACCGCCACTTGCATTCATGGCGCCACCGACGCAACGGACTTTATACGAAACCTTAGGAAGTCTATGAAATTTACACGAGGAAATTCGCAAGACACGATAATCTAGAGATGATTAATTAACTTTGCTTTAAATGTTTTTTAAAACTTTTTTTTTTATATCACGACAAAATAGTTTCACGTCCAATCTGAGACGCATCTCGTTATCAGTTAATTCCACGAGTGCATCATAATTCAACAATGTCTTGGCAGTAAAAATCGCGAGATATTTGCAAATTCCGCTTTGCAAATATTTTCTCCTACCTCTTTTTCTTATCAGAATTGCCTGGGATTTTCAGAACTCAGACGTTCAGGTCATTCCCTTGCGTTATATATATTTTCTTAAGAAATTTCAACGTATCAGAGTTCCTTGAACTTTTATCTAGCTCGAGTAACTCTATTATTTATATATATATATATATGTATATATATTTTATTTATTTTCAAGTGCGTCAAAATCGATCATATTGCGGCAACGAAATTCCTGATGTCATTGAAACGATATCGAATCATGTCCTGATTAGGTTCAAGAGCGATACGAACAATCATAGATCTTACAGAGGGTTCAGTATAAATTTCACATCTCACTATGCAGGTTCGTAAAAAATATTGATCAATTGAGGTAAACATCCCAGAACCTTGCATCCAGTATCAGGCACCAATATTGGGAGCCACCGCGTGTACGAAAGAGACGCAAATATAGTCTCCTACGAGTGGTACAGGGATTCGGTACTGGGATGTTTACTTTATGTCATCATTTATCGTTTTAGATGCTTCAATTTAAAAAATTGAATTTTCAAAAGGTTGCGGAGGTCACCTAACGGGTATGCATGGCTTTATCGAGTCCCCTGGATATCCATTCAGCAGACAGGGCGGACGGTGAATATTTTTGTTTTTCAAATATGACGAAATTTTTCTTTCAATTGGACATTAATCTCATATTTTTCAGTTATTGTACATGGGTAATCACTGCACCCATAGGTTACCACATAGTAGTGAAAGTTTTGGATTTGAAAGTTTCCGCATGGTCGCGGTTTACGAATATAATAAGTATGCAGGTAATTTTGTAATTTACATTTGAAATTCATTTTACTTTTTTGTCAAAATGAAAATTTGTTTTTTCTCCTTATTATTTCAGTTTTACAATTATAAAGGGTCTAGACATAATATAAAGTCCCTGAAAGTGAATGATACCGGAAGTCGAATATCAAGTTCCAGTGACGTTATGATGATAGCCTATTGGTCCAGAGATAATACTTTAGAAGCCTTTAAACTTGAATATAACATCGAAGCTCCGGCTCGTAAGTTTATTTGGGATTTTGGAATTTAAACAAACATTTATTTAAATGAAATCGCCCAAGAAGACGGCTTGTAATAATATACGGCGTTCGTAGCTTGCGGAGGAATGATAGTTAATTCCGAGGGAACTTTACGTGAGCCTTCTAGAGACGTTTACGATGGAATATCATTATATTGCAAATGGATGCTGTATGCACCAAATGACACCTTGAATTTCGAGCAATTACACCACAGAACTTTGGCAATTGTCGTCACTGGGAGTATAGATTTTTGGCACCTTCCCAGTCATACCTGTCAGAATAGCCTATTGAATGTTCGTTTGGAAGGTAAGCACAGTCAATGACATGATAAAACGTGATGATTACTATATGAATTAAGGTCATTTTAAAATTATTTATTTAGATGACAATGGGCCTGTTGCCTACATCTGTGGAAACATGACTGTACCGATCAGAGCTCGAAGTCCATCGTTAATAAATACTCTGAAGGTAATATCAAATAAAGCAGTAATAATTTAATGACGAATGAAATTGGTTAATTGCCATAAATTAATTTCTAGGTTAATATCCCAAATACATATCGTAAAGGAAATTATTCTCGATTCAATATTACATACAAGTGGCACCACTGTGGTGGCGTATTGAGGGGTCCATCCGATTCCGTCGAAGCACCAAGGAATCTTACTTATCCAATAGAATGCGCCTGGCACGCTTCATATCCAGACAATGGGGATACCATTACCATGTATTTTGAACGATTGAGTCTTGGCAACTGTGACTATAATTACATAATTGTCAGGTACGTATCTACGGTAGTAGTATTCTAATAGATTGATTTCAAGAAATTTTCATTGCTCATCCTTACGTCTGAACACGTCACAGAAATGGTGGATCTATGTCTCCGGTAATCCGCAAAATTTGTGGAGACTTGAGCGAATTCACGAATCTGACGTCACAACGTAATCAACTTTGGATCGAGTATTACGCTACAGAGGCTACCGGCGACTTCAAGTTCAGATTGGAGGCACTGAATCACGGTTGCGGAGGATCTTTGAGTGACCGTAGCAGAGATCTGGCATCTCCGAAGTACGGTATCCATAGACGTGAAGAAAATAAAAAAAGAAAGGTTAATTAATCGATAAACTTATTTCAGCTTCCCTCATCCGTATTCGAATAACGCGGAGTGCACGTGGGAAATTAATGCTGATCCTGGTTACCATATTGGATTGTTCTTCATCGACCGATTTTATTTGGAAAACAGTAATAATTGCGAAAACGACTATGTTCAGGTAGAGCAGAATAATTTTTCTTTAATACTGTCGTTCCTCTGCGTAGCATCTATTTACCTTGCTTTATTTTATCACGCTGCTCTTAGGCGTTTGACTGGCGTGCTAATATAACAACGGGTATTGAATCTTGGGTGGATCTTGGCAAAGTATGTGGTCGCAACATGCCGTTGCCATTCAATTCCACATCGAACAGAATGAAAGTTTTGTTTCGCTCAAACAACGCGATCCAGGGCGACGGCTTTCACGCTCGCTGGGAAGTCAATTGCGGTGGCGTCTTCGAGGCAACCGGTAGAGTTCAGTACGTGACGTCACCGGGATATCCAATTGCGTATTCCAATAATATGTTCTGCAACTACACGATTGTGGCACCGAAAAAAGAAATCCTTGTGCAATTTACAGATTTTCAGCTGGAGGGTAAGGTCGAATTAAAAATTAAAAAAACAATTACTCACTTCGTACGGGACTAAGGTTCTTTTTTTCTGCTTATAAACGCAGGTGGAATTTGTGATTTTGATAATGTCACCATCAATTTGCACCGTTTTCACTTCTCGTCAAACAACGTCTGGTGCGGTTCAAATAGACCACCGATTCAAAGATCATACCGGAAAATGGAAATCATTTTTCAAGCGGATCATTATCGGCAGAGCAAAGGATTCGAGTTCAAGTATCATCTATTTGGTAAAGTGGACTTTCACTCTTTTGAATGGGGATAACAATAATTTCAAATAATTGTGCCTTGTGTAACTGATGCATCTTAATAACGTGACGCAGACTGCGGAGGTGAGATAACGCAACCAGGAACTATCAGTCCACTGATGAATGGTGACGCGTATTTCGGTGGTATGAGGTGCATATGGAACATAACTGCTCCTCTTGGACAAATTGTTGTACTAAGATTTGAAAAATTCAATGTCGAGTACAGTTCTAGGTGAATCTGCAACATTGAGCTTTTTTTTCATTTTATAATTGTATTCTCTTTTTATGTACTTATTTAACAATTCTTTCTAAACGATTTCAGATGTGCATTCGATTTCGTTGCTATTTACGTAGGATTGGAGGAACGACGTTTGGGCACGTTTTGCGGAAATATAAAATTCAACAAGCCGGTCATTTCGGACCACAGTAGGTGGATGAAAGTCGACTTCTTGTCTGATTACAGTAATCATTTTGATGGATTTACTGCAACCGTATGGACGATTGTTTATTCTTCGTAAACTATTTTATATTTAATCTCGAAGCTGCGAATTTCAAATATTTTATGAATTTGCAGATTTCATTCAGGAAGGATTGTGGCGGATCAATTAATGTCAACAATTCGTATGCGTTTAAGACACAAAACGAATCGACTTACGAATCTTTGTTAGATTGTCATTGGGTCATACGTAATGACTATCAGAAAAACATTAAGTTCACCTTCAACAGTATGGATTTGAAAAATGCCACAAATATCTCAACAGCCAATACGAATGAGCCGTGCACAGGGGACTTTATTGAGGTGAGTAAGATTGTGAATATTAATGTATTTATAAAGGTACCTCAAAGACATAAATACTTTGATTAACGGAATTGTTTAATTTCTATAACACAGATTCGCGATGGAGGAGGACCAATGGCAGATTTAATTGGCCGTTATTGCGGGAATGACATTCCTCTTCCTGTCACCTCGTCAGCGAACGCTCTGTATATAAGACTTGTTACCGATAGCATTATAGAGGGTCAGGGAGTCACAGCCACGATAACCACTACGGAACGTAAGAATTTTCGAAAATTAATTTTTTTATTCTCAAAACTTTCAAGAGACTACGTTAATGCTACGTTTTTCACGATCCTTCGAAATTTCAGCACTTTGCGGAACACCATTAATCATTGTGAAAAATGAGACTATAAACTTCACGTCTCCTGGATATCCAAATTCATATCCACCTGGTATCAGATGTCGCTGGACTTTTAAGCTTGAACGTGGTAGATATTATTTCAGTTGGAGAGAACTCGAAATACATTTTGATGATTTCGATACGGAAGCTTCAGATATGTGCAGCCTCGACGAACTGGAAATCATTGACTCGTCGGTACGTAAAGATTAGGTAGATTAGATTGATTAACGTCCAAATGACAACCTTTAATAATTCATTATTTTTATTAGACAAGTCATTTCGTAAATGAAGGCCTTAGCGAAGATTTCATATTCACCGGGGAAAAGAATCACGAGACTAACAGGATACTAGTGAGTACGATAGATTCAATGATTCGTGATCATTGACTTCTTTACACGAATCTCCCAATCGAATTAAATTGCACTAATTTTATTCCAGGGTTATCGCTATCCTGTCTCATCATATAAATACTGCGGTTCTTTGTTACCGCACGAATACTACAGGTAAATAGAAAATTTGTTTTAACTGTACACTTACTTTTTCATAAACAATAAACCCGCCCTTTCCTTTGTCTTCTCGCAGCACTACCAAACAAGTTCAAGTTACTTTTAAAAGTGCATCGACTCAGCAAAAGCCTCACAAAGGATTCAAGTTAAGTGTCGGTCCAGCCACGTGTAATCGCAATTACACACAAGAACAAGGACGCATTTACCACAGCTCCTTTACGGATTGTTGGTTTACCATAACAGCTCCTGTTAATTACACGATTTCTCTGTATTTCAATCTGTTTAATATGTACGATAGCATACATTGCAACAACACGGGGTTAAAGGTAAGGAACATAATCAAGAACCTGAACCATCCAGTTGTGACGCAAAATCTAACAGAGCGAATTGGTGTAGGATGAAAGGATGAATTTTGATTTTTCCTTTTTTTTTTCGTTAGGTATACGATGGAAACTTTGGGGATAAAGTGTTGGCAAACATTTGTGGTTCCACCACGCCAAATCCCATTTTCAGTTCAGGTAATAAGGTCAGTTTGAATTCTTGGTCCTCGATTGACCACAATTTCCAAAACTACGATATAACATTTACCACAACCGACAAAGGTAATTACACATTTTCGTAAGCAGACTTCGATTAGTGTTTCCTATGTTTTAAATCGAATTGATGTATTTTAGGACCGGGATGTGGTGGAAAGTTGTTCAATCATGACGGCACGTTTACGTCACCCCTGTATCCACTAATTTATCGCAATAATTCCGAATGCACGTGGGAAGTCGGTGTTCCGATAGGACACAAAGTTGTTTTAGAGTTTCCAGTTTGCGATTTAGGATCGCCAGGAACGTGCGAAACTGATTTCTTGCAAATTTCTGACGTTAATTCGGAAGGCGAAACTAGTCTCCGGGAAACTTATTGTGGAGGGGTAAGGAGTAGCGCTATTGGATTCTTAATTATCTAAAAATATATTAAAATAATATATATATATATATATATATGTATGTGTGTGTAATCTAATTGACCATGAGGTAATAATTTAATTTTACTTCTCTAGGATAATCCTGCGACTTTTACTGGTGATGGAAATGTGGTTTCTGTTAAATACCAGACAAGCGTGAACAATGGTGGCAGTTGGGTAATCAAATTCATGGTGAAAAATACTTGTGAGTAATTGACTAATGGCTTGCTACTAATTATTGTCGATCACTCCTATACAAATTATTGGTATAATATTTTTTGCAGGATAATTCGCTACGATGGTGTCGAATGATACGGGGTTATTTTAAGAATCAATGAGTCACGTGTTATCGTATTTTATCTATCTAGTATGAATTAGTATAAGACACGAGTGTGAAGTACCAATCACACGAGTCCTTATACTCATGCGTACCAGCTAGATACAATAGTTTTCGTGTCAAATGCTCAAAGAAATTGCCGTCTGGCTTTTTTTTTTACTAGAGATGGCACCGTTAACCTGCCTCAAAAATATTTTGTAATAGGTTCACCCTTCCTTGAAAATATTTTAGATGCCTATGACGTCAGTATCATAATTTTGTAGATAATTTTATAGTCGATTGTTCAACAAATAATATTTTAAGGTGCCCTCTGGCGACACATTACCGGATATTCTTTAGGCATTTGTTACAGAAAGAAATACATTATGTTACCGAGTTATTACAGTATGTAGGCAATAGTTATAAAAATGAAAATAAATATTTTTAACTCATTGGTTACCCTTAAACAATCATGTTATGAAATTTCATCCTTTGGGTTTAGAGTATATTAAACGAGACTTCAGATTTCTTAATAAAATTATACAGTATTATTATATTTCATTTCTGCTACAGTAAGTATCTGTAAGTATAAGTACATTCTTACGTTACAGTTGTCATTGAAATTTGTTTTAAATTCACTAGGCATGGATTTGAGTAATATCAATATAGGTTTGCAGATGTAGGAGATGAGCTTCTGTATTAAATTTACATAAAATTACAACAGAAATAAAACTGAATCATCCAATTTTAACCAATTACAAATTCAATTTAGTTGGAAAATATTTCATCAATTTGCAACGTCGTGCGCTAACGAGTTCTATTAAAAGTTCAATACTAACACTTATCGTTTAACGGTGATAAAAAAATAATTAAAATGACAATACTTGAACGACACAGCACGGAGATGAATGTGCGGTATCTTATAAGCGGAATCATCATCAACATATAAATATGTTTGCGAACTGTTCAGATCAGAAATAACCTGCTACATATGAATTAATATTACTGTCTGAACTATTAGGGTTCAATTAATATAAATATATCTTAATCGAACAATATTTCATTACGCTTGCAAATCATTCTCTGAACGACGGAAACGAGAAACACAAATAGGTATCAAAGAACTGCACTTTGTACTGATCTGTTGGTGACTGCACGTGGTAACATGTAAATTAAAACTTGGCGACAACAGTTGCGCTTGTTACCGTTTTGACTTGTGTTATACGAAAAGTTGAAACCACGTGTTGAACTTAATACAACGTGGACCGTAAGCATGTGAAAAGGAGATAGGTTAAACGGCCGTACCCGTTTTTACAGTTTATTGTATCTCATTTATATTTGATTAAGGTAAACAAGCGTATCGACATTTCGCCCTTTTCATTAGGAATCAACGCAAACGCGACAATTTTCACGTTCGAATTTCGCGCCTGCGACAGAAAACACTGAGGGTGTCACGCTCGAACTTGATTAATGTTAAGTGAAAAAGTTGTTCCCTAAAAAATTGTTTAGTGGAAATCCACAACGACCTAAATCTCAGTGAAGAGGTATGTGTCGTCGATTAATAAATCATTTTAATGTCATGAATTTAAGTAAACGCGAATAGTCGCTATCGGATCGTATAGAAACGATCCTTGGAATCATTAAACCGTCATCGAAACGACATTGAGGATAATCGTGCACATGAGAAGTATCTCTTTCGACAGTACCATGCCGATCTAAACGTACACAATAGTAGATCAAGATTAACCTTATACCTGGGAGATCTATTTTTACGTACTAGTGTAATCATGCTCTCGTGTAAATAAAGAAAAAAATAACATAATAACCAGAAGAAGCAATATTCGCGATCAACGCGACTCAACAAATTCAGGGCGTTATGCTGCACATATTGTGCCTTTTACAGAAAACAGTAATAATCAAGGGATATACGAGAGACAAAAAAATCACTTTCGAGAAATCTATATTCCTGAGATACCTTCTTCATAAAAATACTTTTTATATCTTGCGCTCCTCCCCTCCCGCCTCCCACCCTGTCTCTCACCTTTCACGACCATTAGAATACACGTAATCTGACTTCAATATCACTTCTTTCACTTTGAACTGCGTGCATTAACTTATATGAGGTTTTTTTCTTCTATTCGACCGCCACTAAGCTTGCTGAGATCCACTCAGTCTTCGTGACGCGACGACTTTGCCATTCCTCTGTGGGGAGTCATTAAGTGGCTGAATGTCTTCTTGAACGGATGCTGGATATTTTTGATCAGGATAATTCCAGGCCTGGATATCGGCTGTGCCAAATATTTGATAAACCACGTACGTTCCGCATGCGACGCACGCCGTTACACCGAAGACCTTTCGCCAAGCGTCAAGAGTTTGCTGCGAGGAAGAACAAAAAAGGTATTGGCATTTATGCGAAAAATTATGTGTGCGAGCTTACGAGCAGTTTTTTTTTTTCGTCTTTCCTTCTCTTCCTCTCTAAAGTTATACTTACGCTCTCTTGCGTTAACAAGCCTGCGGCTATTGGCGAGAGGAAGCTGGCCGTCATGTGGATTGTCTGTGCAAATGCAAGAACTGGTCCTGAAACGCATATACGAATCATTTAATTTCTTGATCTTCAACACTCTTTTCTGCTATTATCACGGCGCACGTGTCAACAGGTTATGAATTTTTCATACCGGCAAAATTAGGTGCTATGTCAACGATATTGGCCATTGCTCCGGCGTAGGCAGCTGTTATGAGGGTCACCGCGACAAACCACACGATAAGGACGAGTATAATGTTGCAGCCAAGATATCCGATGAGGAGTACAAGAATTCCAGGAACGACTTGCGCTATGTAAAGGAATAGGCAAATGTTAGACATATTTATTTGTATCACTAGCCAATATGATCTGTATAACGAAGATCCTTACATAAGGCGGTGAATATTTTGCGAACATTAGTAAGTGAGAGTATCTGCCTCGTGACAAGTACGTCTGCCACATAACAGAAAACTACGGAACTCAGGTAGCTGCAGATGAAAGGTGCACCGGAAAGAACGCCATTCTATGAAAACAGTGCGAGTATAGAATTAGTCACAAATAAAAAAACTCAAAACTCGAAACAAAATATAAAACTTTACTCACAGCTTGAATACTGAAGCCGAGTACAGTTTTCATGTACATGGGACCAGGAATGATGAAGACGTAATGAACCCAAATCCTACCAAAGGTGGTGATACCAATAGCCCAAGCCGGCCAGGAACTCAGTATGGATTTCCATGGTACCGGCATACTCTGTTAATAATAAATAGCCAACAATGAAAAATACCAAAGTACCGGAGTACCAAAGAAAACAAAGACTCGAAGATACCTCACTGGCCCCAACGACCTGGTTTCCCAAACTGCCCTGAATATAACGAAGCTCCTGCTGGGATATCCTCGGGTGCGTAGAAGGCGTATCGAAGGCTAAGAAGTACCAAACAATGCACCAAATGGCACCGATGCTTCCGGTCGTGTAGAAGACCACCCGCCATCCGAAGTGGGCAATCAGGAAGCCGCACAGTGGGTAGGTCAGACCAATGCCGAAGCTGAACCCTGAATATAGATAATCTAGAGGTTAGGAGTCGCTCACCCCAAGACCCGGAGGAAGCTGAAACATGAGGCTTGTTGTATGGCCGGAAACTGGTACGATCTTCGTGCCTGCGCGTACGTCATCATCCTCCAGGACGAGCTCGTGATTTCTGCAAAGGGATTCAACGGGAGATTTAGTATGACAGGGCGTGGATGGCAAATGATGAAGCTGTTATGGTGGGACAATGAAACTTCGATACCTGCAAACAATAAAAGTAAACTTGATCGACCTGAAAATGATTTCTCGCTCGCGATACGCAGAGAGGAGCGTACTAAACGGTTTTACACCGGTTACGTATTACGAGCGTACTACGGTTTTACATGTTTTTCTTTGTAAACACTTTTAAATAGCAATCACCGCAATTGGCAAATTCGGGCACGGCTCGTCTCTGGTAATGTTGAAGTGAACAGTGATGATTGAATTTTCAACGTCAGTCAGTCGCGAGTCGGCAAGGAGAGTTGATTCGAGGAACATATGACTGATAATATTTTGCGATTATGTGTAGGTATATGCTTATATGGCATTTAGAGTGTTTCTATACATATTTGCGCATTATAGTTTTTGAAGAAGCCTGGCTGATTCAGCCAGGCTGGAAGTATACTCGGCCTTTCTCATGCTGTTGAGTGGTCGCTGTTGAGTATACCCCGCGGTCCGGCGAATACAACCATGCTGAGCTAAACCAATGGAAAAACAATGTCAGAGTTTGCATTTATTCCAAGAGAAACACACGTTCCTTAAGGATATTAGAGCATGTAGCGTTCATTTGCATTAGTCGTTACGTGTATCACGATTGTCTGCTCGAGTTGTCGTAGAAGCTCACTGGTTACCGTTAATTACTCATCGGAGAATTCAACGCCACACTGTAACTTTGTTCAGGATGCATTGTTGTTTTCATGAAAGTCAACAAAAAAAATTAGAAAAAAATATGACCAATTCTACTTGCCATGTTTCAATTTAGCGTCTTTCTACTTGTACTGCATATACTTTTATTTCGTTTCTACATCGACTGTCACTTGGCAGTAATCGACGAGTATAGTGTTAAACGCATCAAGTTTATTCGATAAAAGTTAATTCTCCTATAATAAAAATCGATAACCAGCATCCTTCTTCACGTGTCTCGACTAGCAATGAAATTTCGACTGCAAACAAAAAAAAGAAGGCAGAATTTTTCGTTTGAGTTTCCATTATCGATACTGAAAGAAGTATGCATTAGTATTAAAGAATCTGCATGTCTCTTTTTTCAACATCAAAAACGGTACATTTCAAGATCAGATTTTTCATAAGTTTACATATTTGAAAGTCATAGGGCGAATGTATTGAAGTTTCACTGTAACACAAAAAATTGTCTTTAGTGTAATCGTTAGCTGTCTGGACGACTGAAATAGCTCACCTTGGAAGGAAGACATAAAGCGTGATCGTTCGACCGGCGGAATCCAATGTCCAACGATAGCGTACATGGCCGGCCAGGTTAAACCCTGAAACAACCAAAAAAGTAAATAAAACAAATACGGTCATGCATTACACTGCCCTATAATGATTCCCCATTCCCGATGACCCAGGATATCATATCTTTCTAATTTCTCATTGTTTGGTCCCACTCACACTAGCTATGCCTTGAATACTTCTCAAGGCTATCATTGCCCCATAATGAAGATCAGCTGCGCTCGGCATGAGCAAACTGCAAATTGCTGTGACTAGTTGGGAACCGCCAAAAACGGTTTTGGTTCCAAAATATTGTGTAAGTACACCGCCGACCACCTGGGACAATATGTAGCACCAGTAGAATGAGCCGAGTATGGCAGATTGTATCGCTGGACTCCAGTCGAATTCGCCCATTTCCTACGGACACAATATTTTCAAAATTTACTAATTATAATCCTAATATTTTTCTGATAAAGGCAGAATGTATTGTTTCCTTAAACAAATATATATACATATACATATACATATATATACACACCTCGGGACGAATAGCCGTAGTATTCTCCACAGAGAGAGATGCATTTGGGATTGCGTAGCAATGCGTGGTCATTGCGACTTTTGTATCCGATGAAGATGGTGGCGGTAACCTCACCATGGCCACCATAGCAATGTTGATGTCGGTCCGCATCATAAAGGATACGAGGAATCCAGAAAACGATAGTATATAGAGAACTACACGTGCTGGTACCATATCTGTTACGGAAATACATAAAAATAGAGATAACAATGTTGTATAATATTTTAACTACAGCTTATCCATACATGAGATGACGTACATATATGTCTGTGATATTTTACAAATAATAATACGCACCTCCCAATTTTCGCAAACTACAAGAAGATGGTTGTTTGTACATAGTTGCGTCTTCGTACCTGTAAGAAAAACGTTACGTAATTGTAATATGCGTATAAGTATGCGTATTGCCTCAAATAACATGTAGGTATATGAATTTCAATATGATGACACGCGGACATGATATTTAATCGCTACGTTTGTCCATTATGAATATCAGTAGTCTACTGAATAACCTTTGTGCTCTACGTAATCGAAACCTATAACGGTTAACCATACACTATCGGAACGTTTAGCACTGATAAGAACCACAAGTATTTGATTACAGGGGATTTTATTGACCTCGTGAATTTTCGTCCTATTTACCTTTCCGGGCCCTCCATCTTGTTGCTTAGCCACGCCAGCTCTAGGACGATTTATATTTGAAACGATGAAGTCTGCTGCTCGACTGGGATCACCTTTGATTCTGTAAGAATAGCAAAAAATACATATTAACAAGTTGACTACCGAGGGGGTCACTGGTGACCGATGACGGAGCAAATAATAAAAGTACATAATTAGAGTAAATATGGATACTGATACATTTTTCAATAACACTATTGTAACTATGATGGTTTGAAGAAATTAATGCAATATAGAGCATACACAAAATAATTTTATAACTCACTTTATTTGCTGCAAATAATATTTCAAAATAATATGCATCGCATAATGAAAAACTCACGTTGGCGCCTTGGGCCAAACCATGGAAAATGCGCTTGGCAGTCAACGTGTTAATTATGACTTTCGTAAATGCGGAGGCGGATATTCAAAGATATTTTTCGTGATTCCGTATATTTCAAAGAGAACACGCGAATCGTCAAGCCGCAGCTGACACGAAGATAATTACCGACATTCCGTGACTCGTTAAAGACCCCGTGTTAATTAACGAAAGATCGTTAGCGTTAAGAGAAAAAATCTCAATAAATTGATAAATTCGAAGAAAATTAGTTTGAGATAAAAATGCAATATGTCGCAATCCTGCTAAATCATGGTACGAAATTCAAAGTTCGTAGCTGCGTTTTACGTAACTCCTTCCCCACCCCGGACACGAATAATTGTGACAATTAAACCGTTGACCTTGAACATTTTGCAAATAACTGCCATTGTGCTCATCTCGATCGTACGTCTATCTGAATTTAATTTTGAGTTGGACAAAAAAAAGTCAAATAAATTCTCAACGGACCGAACCAGGTTATTGCCAGCAGGAGTTCCATGGGAATAAGGTGATTCGATGAACGCCATAGGAATTCGGGATAAATACCACAAGGAACTCATCACAGAGTTCTTGGGATTCTTGAACGTCAAAGGCATGCATTACGAACACGTTGGCAATCAAGTAAGCGTAATAAAAGAGCTGTCATAAAGCACCGACGTTTTTCCCTGTAATCGAGGTCTTTTCTCAGCTCCCAAGGCTTCGGTCGGCAGCTACAGATGTAACCGGATAACGAACGTCGAGTTATGCCGTGTCGCGTTACCCAGATTACAAAAATCGAGAGTTTCAAAATTATTAATATCGAATGAGGAGGGTGCTTTTTTGTTCTTCTCGAAAACGCCTAATCATTTGGCCCAGACAAATTAACGAATAACCACCATCTAATTGTGATTTATCATTATTAATTTCTTTTATTGAATTCACCCTTTAGCTGTCCCGTCACCTTTCGTAACACCAGTACCCCTGTGGGGGCCTTAAAGACCCCACGATGACGTACGCAAACAATATTATTCTGCGCTTAAATAAGAAATTGTTTGTACACTCGAGAAAAACAAAAAATTGTTAATTAATAAATAACAAAAACAAAATATATTCTAGTGGCGATGTGAGGAATTAACGATATGGGGTCTTTTAGGACCCCACACCAGTGTCCGAGGGTTAAGCTTGCTGTTCAGCTAAATTCATACATGTAGATACACGTGTATGGAATTATGACGATTCTTACAATTTTTTGCTTTCTTTTGTTTTTAACTAATTTGACAAATTGAAATCGGGCTAAAAATCATCATTCGGCGGCCATTACGCCTTCTCCATTTTTCGTAAATTTTCGAATTTTTCATAAACTTAAGCGCAGACGAGCCCGCCCTCCGTGTCATATAAAGAAAGCGGCTGAGCGAATAATTCAACAAATTAATGGAAAATGCCGGAGAGAAATGGTTCTAAGGATTTTCTCGCCTCTGACGTCATCGCTTCGTGTACGTGCGCACACACGGAATAGCTGAATAGTAGCCTTAATTAATCGACTATACATTGGGATTAGATATTTGGACATGCATTGAGTATGTTTTGGTTTGGAATAAATTATACTAATTTTGAGTAACTTTTTTTTTATCTTCTTCAAAATCATAAATAGTCAGCAGCGTGTGTTACGTTTGCTGCTCGAAAACGCGTTAACATATTTTTTCATCAAGATCGATTAAAAAAAAAACTACTTAATGCATACTCAGCGTTTTTGCCATTGGAATTCGATGACAGGTTTCATACTTTGATATACAAACATATGTGATATATACCAGGAACGATGACCAGGCTCGAGTTTTCATGGCAGGTGAATGTGTAAAATATGTGAAGAAATGTAACCACTTGGTACGATTCTTCCCAATTCCCTTACGAGTGTTGCGTTTCGTATTTTGACGTAGAATATTTACGTGCGACATACTCAATTGCGTGTAAAAAGTTAATGAGCTACAAAAATGGAAAAAAAAAAACAATACATACATATACAAGAGAATTCGTAAGTCTCGTAATCGTAAGGTCGCTATTGGGTACCGGTGTGATTCAATTATCGTGAATTCGGGTCAAACTAGTAACGACACTGACGATATTCGATAAATTTGGACAAAAATATATACGGAGAGAAAAAATGTCTCACAATTCTGTTTACCGTCCGTAAGTAAATAATTAAATATCAGGCTGGGTTATCCGAAACAATTTTTTCCTGCAAACTCAACGATAAGCGTATCCTGCTTTTTCGGAATAATACATTAATTATTAACCTTTGAATTGGTCGTCTCTTCTATCTGTCTCATTCGACTTACTTGGGCAGGTCCGATGACGATGGTTTAACACACTTTAAGAAATGCGTCCTAACGAGCAACTGTTGACACTGCGAGCACCGGCGGATCATAGATCGGAAAATGAGCCGCAAGAGAGTTCAGCGTGCGTGAGAAGAACCGACCGAACTGTGAGCTGGTCGAATGACGGAGTCGTTGACTATCTCGCGCCTCGACTTCACTGACCCCCACCACTTCACTGACCATATAACAGTGATCGTCACTCAGAGTCACGAAGCTAGTTTATCAAGAAGGACTAGGAGTCATGAAATTCATGAATATCATGAAATTCGAGACAGATGACAGGTGACTCTCAGTGATTGATTGGGAATGACACGTGGAAATTATTGAATGACAGATTCGAACATAAAGATATAGTACAAGGGGAGAATATAATATAATGATAAATGAGTATAATAATTTTTTTTCGTAAAATCAATTTTGACCAATATTTTCATTAGAATCATAATAAATTTTGTTACGTATAGAAATAGATAAAAAATTTTTTAAAATAGGAATTCACTATTGTTCCACTACTGATCGGTGTAAATGATCATTGGAAATCAGCACGGAACAGATCCATTTCGCTTGAAGCTTCGAGCAACAGTTATATAATGGCTAATTCCTTCTTTTTTTTGTCTTCTTCGATTCCCAAGGATAATCTGATGACTTATTACACGATCATCGAGAACATGTTATTATTCAGTTCGCGGTTTCAGTAAATATGAAACAAATATTCGTGCGCAGGATGGTCTTCGATTTTAAAAATAAAGAATGCGAATAATTGTTGAATAGGGAATACTGGCTTTAAGAAAGTAATGATTTTTCTAATTGATACGCCCCAACCCCACGTGGTGAAAGTAAGTGGTCGAGTGTTACGTGACATTTTAATTATTAGTTAATTGACCTGATCAAGTGTGACCTTTGAGAATGGCGTCTCGTGTGCTTTATCATAGGGAATTATAAGAATTAGACGAGATCGTATTGCGTTAATCACAAGACGCACCACGTGACCCAGACTTATATTAACCTGGTCTCTAAGATCATTCAATTTGACTGACTAGATATACGGGGTGTAACATGATGTATGGGATCTGCGTCAGGGATGGGGATTCAGCATTTAAAAGTAATAGGCGTATGTCCTATTTTCATTTTTTTTAAGCTATAGCCAATTTTCTTCATTAATTAATTTCTTGCTTTCATCAAGTAGCTTGATACTTTTTGAATCATCGATTTTTTTAACGGATACAAATAAGTCGTGTTTGGTCCTATTGCTTTTTGGGCGGCTCGTCCTTCGAATTTAAATACATTGGACTTTTAGCTGTGCGATATCTGAAATCTATGGTTTACGCAACATCCGTTGATAACATTGAAAAACTCTGTGTATTCAAGAAAGGATATGAATATCAACTAGACGTCTACTGAGAAAGGGTCATTTTGAAGACTTGCTGTGAAAAAAATAGAAGTCAAATTTGACTATTTTGAAGAAGAAAAAAATCGAGATCAGACATATGTTTATATATGACTTTATTTTATAGTTTCTTAATACTGAATCACTCTTGGAAAACAGGTCTCACATTTGTTACACCCTGTATGCACACATGGGTAGACACATATTATTTAGTTTTCTAGTGGCTTTTGTTTACTTTATCCCCAAAAAATGAGTCACTGACGTATTCCAGATGAGAATGGTTTAAGAATCCCTTAGTCCAACGTCATCTTGAACTAATCAACTAAAATTTTGTGTAGGGCTGTCATCTTAAAAGAATTTTCACGTCGACCAGTTGATACAAAATATCGGGTTTCAAAAAAATCTATAGTTTCGCTCTGAGCACGAGTGAAATTCGATACTTCACAAGACTCACCGCCACGTGTGAAATTTGGAATTTTTTCCCAGAAACTCAAAATGAAATATAGTTCATTCAGTATCACTGTGGCTACATACACTTGAGAACACGTATGTTACATCTAGTTTGTATTCCTATTTCCTTCGATATGTGTAATGGATTCACTACTAGTCTGATCATTTTATTCGTTTCCGGTGCGACAGTTGTTGCAAGCGTTATGCAATGTAGCGCAATAACGTTCACAGTGAAATAACAGTTTTTGAACGCAAGTCGCAAAATCTGAGTGACCGCCGCTATGAAATTAAGTTAAAAATCAATAATTCTAATCTTTTACTTTTTTACACGTGGTATATTCACACACTGTCCTATATAAAATTTCCTATTAGCTGGATTAGGGTTGGCATATTTTCTTATCAGACAGACAGATTCATAATAGTTCAACTCAGATGACAGGTGCTATCGATTAATCGATTCAAAAAATAAAATTTATAATTTTCAACGATGAACAATAGACGTATTGTGTTACCACGAGAATTGAGGAAACCAGTCTACATGTTTCCTCAATTGGCAGAGAAAAACTAATTTTAATTTTAATTATTTGAAACAATAATGATATCTAGTCTACTTTGGTGGATAATTGATCACAATGACGTTACGAAAATTAAAGCGATTTGCAAATGTCGGAAACATACGCAGTATCCCCTCCTCTCCCTACTTGGCAACTTAGAAATTTATTCAGTCATAATGACCGAAGGCAAAAACCGGTACAAGAAGTAGCTGATACACGTGAATACATTATATACATATATAATCGTCTGGAAGCAGTGATAGCGATCGATCAAACGTACACTGACTGTATTAGTCAGCGAATATTTTTCATATATATAGAACAACGCCGGTTACATGTTCCCCTAGTAAGGTCGCCATCTTAAGAGCCGGTTAAGGCCGTCCTGCATTATCGCGAACCACTGGTTAACATGATATAATTTACTATTCAATTCAAACAATTATGTTCTGTCATTCATGTGAAAAACAAAATTTGTACGAAAAAAAATCACGACAGAATAAAATTCCGAACATCCGTCTCGTCGAACCGTGCCTGACAATTATTCACGTGATGAAATACTTCGTACAGAGTAATAATGAAATGAAAAATAATAAATGAATATTAAACAGATACTTATGGAATACTTCTGACTGAAACGAAAGACAGTCATGTACTGTCACGTGAATCGAAATTGATTTGAAATTCTTGATATATTTACTAACCTTCACGCTATTCCCGTTTCCGGCAAATCGTGCAACAGCCTGCAAAAATTTCTCCCTTGTCGACATTTTCAACGAGCACATTTTCACAAGCGAGTCAATCGGCATTCGGCATTATACAAAAGTATCCGTTAACATAAGACACGGTTCGTTGTACTTGGTTATATCGTCACTCTACTTGGTTATATTGTCACTGTACTCGTAAATGGCTGAGAAGAATTACGATAGACGCGGGTTGTAAAAATGGAAAGAGGCCGACGAGCAAGCGTTTCGAAGACGACGTCGACGACAACGAGAACCACCACGTTCGATGAAGCCTCGACCCAGAGTCTACGTCATTGATCACGTGAGAAGCTACTGTACGTCATAGGCGTCGCGAAATCGATTCTATGGGCGGCGTAGCATTGCGTAGTATCCTGACGTTGCTGAAAATCCGCCTTTCCGACGGAGCGCTCTGTCTGCCACTCGCTACACTTCATTGCTGCACGCTTTATTTTCAATCGAGTCACTTCTCTATCGAGTAACGGTAACCGGGGTGGTGACTCTGTTCGGATGTTATCGGGCGACCGGAAATGATCACAAGATGGACAAAGAACTCGACTGATAAACGGAAGTCAGAATAAAATTTTTGAAAACACAGCGGAGTTGACGCTACGTCTATATTTCTCTACTGACAAAGACTTTGAGCTATTTTCATACTAGTTCACTCTAGATTTTTTTTTCTACTCTTTACTCCGGCACAACAAAGTCGAAGTTCCCTTCGAAACTTAACAGTGACTTTCACTTGGAGTGGTTTTAAGTTATGCAAATATTTGTATATAACGTTAATACAATTTTTGCGCAATCTTAATCAGGTGTATGAAATTCGCATATCCTTTGGCCTGTACTACGGAATCACCTTAAATTATTCATTATGCCGACAGTGTAATATGGGTCAAAGTCGAAAGGGTCAATACCCCAAGGTCTTACGTGTACATCACGCATGCACATTCAATAATACATTCGCAAACGCAATCGCGCAGAATTTACTTTCACTGAATTACATTTTGCAAAATTCATTATCATAATTCTCATTAAGTTCACATTGTGTTTCGCGATGAGGAATTTATTGTTACGTATTCCCTGTGTATATTCCACCCACTGAGCTGTACATTGAATATGGCCATTTTAAGTTATTGCGAACAAAAGGCTCACATGCGTTATCGTTGTTCTTCTTCGAACGTGTGTTTCTGTTGAATTATCGAGACTTTATACAATATTGATATGACAGTGTTCGACCATGACTTTATTGATCGGTAGTATTATTGCTAAAGGAATTCTTTAGACAGGTATATTAACAGTAATTTTCATTGTAACATGTTATCGAATTATCAGTACGTCACGTGGCGACGAGACAAGACTGTTTCCTTGATTGAATTATTTGCATATTGATGTCATGAAATAGTCGTGAAATAAAGAATAGCCGAAAGTCATTTTATAACTTTGTATTAGGATATACAGTTCGATCAATAATAATGACAGGATGACCAGTTTGAATATTTGACGTTATGAAAATTTATTATTTGATTAAGCAACGGTAAAGTTTTGACATATGTAGATATACAGTAATCGATCGATCGAAGTATCGAATGAACAGATGTTTTTGGTATCAAGGGAAAAAAATCTTTGTAATTATCATTAAATTGATGGATAAGAGGAATTATCTTTATAATGAGTAACAAAAAGGGGACCTCACCGACAAGGAAAAAAAATGTAAAAAATTCATCACTACCCGCGGCCGACCAACATGACAAGTAATCAAAAATAAAAATTGCATGATCCAAATTGACTTATCGATGAGGTTATAATCTTTAAGATTCACGTTAGATTAAAGAAGACGACCTCGACCTCATCTCTTTCTGTGGAAAATAAAGATTTGTCCAAAAACCTTAAACCGAATATTCAGCAACGTTCCAGTAAAATAACAAACTTCAGTAGACTCTCCGTAACCAGTAACGAATCGAGCAACGAGCGAGAGGTTAATTAAAAAGTTTAAATAAAATAATAATTCACTTAGTATTGTCTTTAAGCAACTTTTTATTCAGAAATCGTGGAATAACTTTGCAAGATCATCAAATTATTCAAAACTTGCTGGCCAGGGATGTTTTAATCGAGGTTATGACAAAATTGAAAGTAAACATTTTTCCGTTCAAAGTATCGTGAAGCCAAACTGAATGTTTTAGACGGCGAATTGATTGGGATGTTAAGTAAAGAATTGTATTTGGCCGAAAATCAAATGCAAAGGATGCAAGCGATTCTGATGAAAGCCGAAGACAGATTGAAGCTGAAGGATCAGGAGATTGGACGTCTTAGAAGAAAAGTAATTGAAAGTATAATATAATAATTACCATATGTTAATCGAATTATCGTAATTTCATGACGTTAGATTAAGGACTGGGAGGCTAAAAGTAAGAATCAGGAATTATTACGCAAGAAAGAGCAACAAGATAGACGGAATCAAGTTCAAGATTCAGAATACGTTCATAAACGCTGTTTGATGTTGGAGCACAAAATTTACGAGATGGAGGTTATTCCATGCAATATTTTTTGGTCATCATATATTTTACTTTTCATACAATTCTCAAATGTTGTCAATCAGAAATTTTTGGCTGACTATGGATTAATTTGGGTTGGCGAATCCGGCAATCGAAAAGAGAATCAAAGAAATTCGTTACCAAAGTAAAATTTGCCCTTAACCATAATTCGAAAATTAATCTAAATTAGTAAAAAGTCGTTAACTTATAGAAATTATATCGAGTCTTGTTACACGCGGCTGACAGCGAATATCGAAGAGTTAAATATGGCAGTAGGTAAGGGCGAGGTTCAAGTTCATCGTAACGAAGACGGTGGTGGTGCCTCATTCAAAGTAACAACGATACTTGCATCCAGAGGCACTTAACCTGCACTTAATGCCACGTTTGAACTTCGTCTTTTCCTCATAACCAGACAGCGTCATGCATGTGCCTGAAGTTTTACAAGAATGGGATGATCCTTCAAAACGGTCCCCTACGTTCATACTCTAATCCAAAAACAGAATCCTTCATACGTGACATCATAGATGGATATTTTCCTTCAGAATTACAACAGGCCTACCCCAATGGCGTGCCGTTCAAGGTATAAAAATGCAATTGACAAACTTCACATTTTCACTATGATAATGACTTGTCGAATATCCTACCAGGTCGAGGATCACAGATTGGAGACGTACCTAGTCAACGGCGTTGGTTTTCCTGGACAGGGTTATCGCCTTGGTAAAAATTCACCCGATGAAATCTCCTCGAGAATCTCAAGCAAAAGATTCGGAACCGGTTTCTACGATAGTTCCCGTCATAGTGTCACTCAGCGACAACAATTCTATAGCTTCGATCCTACGACGACTGCAGCGCCAAACGGTTCCGCCAGGTACTCTTTACTCGGTTGACGGATAGTAAACACTTCTGGACAGTGAAATTTCTGCACAGATCGATCAAGTCAAAATGCTCTTTGGAAACTACAAAGGATTTGAATAGTTTACGATCGAAGATACTCGCGTCGCACAACAACAATTGTTCGGATACTCATTTACAGTCGCATATCAATGCTGAATTAGCTTTAAGTGGCCGAAGCGAGAAGGTACGTTATCAAGCGAATGTTAGTTTGTATACATTTTGTCGGCATATTATATGAGTGGATTACTTTGCTTATAGAAACGTGATCTAGCTACGAGGAGTAGACAGTATCATATTTCTGTTAGGGAGAAAACTTTGAAAAGTCAGCGAATTCGTTTGAGATCATCAGGGACTCCCAGTGGAAGTAGAGCAAGTAATCTTAGTTCGATCGACAGATCACCCATTGGAATCTCACCCAGGTGAATTTCATTTACTAACAGTTTAAGACTTATGTAGTTATTATGTCCTATATCATTTTTGTTTATGCGATCCAGTGTTCGAAATTATTTAAAATTAATTTTTAACGGCAATTAAAACCTATTGCTAAGGTATCGATTACGTTTCAGTCGATCAGACAGTGCCAGTGACGGGAATGGATCTCGTTCCCGATCGACTAGTTTAACGGGGGATCGCTTTAAGATTAGGTCGCTGTCACGATTGCGCATGTCTTTCTTAAATCTCAATGGAAATCACTCACACTCGACTAGCCATGGGGATTTTTATTCTGAATGTAAAAAACCGCGAATCACGCGATCTGATACACTCGATAGAAATACCAAGGTAATAAGCAGTCTGCTAAATTTTCTTCTTTGTCCATTTTTTTTTATGTATATTTCATTGTATTTTTTAGGCACCTTTAATTCGTCAGATCAATCAATCCAGTGGACAATCTGGAGAGCTCAGAATCAAAGTGAGATCGTTAAGTGGTAGCACTGTTTTTCTAATGCACGTGTTTCCCAATGACTCTGTCGAGAGACTGTATCAACTTTTGAATAGTGTCATGCCGAAAGCTCAGACGGGAAGATACAAAATTATTATCAGCGGGTATCGATACATTTAAATAATCAAATAGGAATTTTATAATTGTGAATAATCTAAAATATATTATTTTATTCACAGCTACTTTCCCAAGAGGTTGGATTGTATGAAAATGTCCTTGAGAGAATATGGTATTGTCAGAGATAGCGTTCTTCATTTAGTTAATGTCTAAAGATTCCCTGAAGAATTGAATTTTTATTGTCTCGTTAATCACTAAACTACTTTGGTCTAAAAAGGAATCTGTAATGAATCAATTAAATGTCGATAACTAAAAGTAATTAAAAAATTTAATAAAAACTGTAAATTATCTAATTGATTATTATTATTTTCCCAAGTACGTAAAAATATATTAGAAGACTATACCTACTATTGATATTGTTATCAATTCTTAATAAATAGTACACAAAAAGAATAAGAACTCGTTCACACTTTCCAAGAATCATATGTCGGTAAAACAGTCGGTAATGGACCGACGATATTCAATCGCCATCTTTGGAATGAAAAACTAGAAATATTTGAATAAAAGAAATTGAATTCAGTTGTTAAAGAGGTTAAAAATCAAATGACTAATTATCGTCGTTATTTGGTAATTAAGTATAGAATATAAAAAATTCAAAAATGACACTAAAAAGAAACTTTGTATTAAAAAAAAAATGTTCAGGTCTTATTATAGGCAGATACAAAAATCGTCTGGGTTTAATATTTTCCAAATTGATATCAATACCAATCACGTTGGTATCATTATTTAACAAAGCTAAGCACAGCACTACCGTCGATAAAACAGAGAGTAAAAATATCCTCGTCATGTCCTACAACTGCAAAGCACTAATTTCCAAGACAATGCCACCTTACGCCAAGAGTCAAACTACAAAGTCCCAAGTTTCGAAACACAGCTGAATGGCAGTTGACGAAGCATAGTAAAGTTTATTGTTAATATAATTGAGTTGGGATTACACGAAGTTTCCTAGTTTGACGTGCATTACTTCATTGTGACCATTCTCAACGAGTTGACCCCTAAAATACCCTGTCTGTACTTCTGAAAAGGATAATAACCACGTCAATTCCCAAAATTATTTTATATTTTTTAATTTTATAATTTTCCACCGAAATACATAAAAGGACACAAAATTGATTACAAACAAAATTATAATAAGGGAGTCTACACTGAAAAGCATTCTATATAATATTAAAACTCAACAATTATTAAACGAATATTTACCCCATTTCACAGTAAATTATTTATTACTAATTAAAAAAGAACTACGATTTCCAACTTACACTCGTTATATCCAGAAAATATTGATTATCTACATACTCAACAGTATATACACGTATTTATACAACCAGTAAGTAAACACCTACCAACCAGTAGCATTTATTCTTAGTTCAAAAAATTATTATAAAAACTGTCAAGGAACCTTAAGCATGATTCATTATAAGACAATGATGTCGTCCTCATAGAAACAATGACGAACAATCATGTCAACGATAAGACAGAGGCAGTTCAACGCCTGAAACCATATCAGCCAACGATTCGTTATCGGATTTCCGTAAGAAGCAGATCAAGAAAAACAAAAAGAAGACGTCATTGATATCAGTGACGCAATAAAGCCACATAATATATTTCCTCATACACTAAGAATAAAATCAACTTAGCATAGGTTCGATTCCACTTCATTACAATTTTACAAGATAAACTTGTCCGCCGACTATGCCGTCCGACAATCTATAGTAGATTTATAAAAAGATCATCGAGCTAACGTACTTTACCATCTGCCATAACAGTGTTCTCTCTCTTTCTACCTCAGTCTAACGTGCCATCTGTACGTATAGGCGTAACGAGGACAAAGCTTCTTCAGTCGATTCCCTTTTCTTATTGCTTCTCATCAAAGACCAAGAAACACATTGTTACACTCGTTTCGTTCTTCACCAACGATTAGAAAGAGAACTCCGTTGACAATAAAGTCCATAAAATGGCTGCCGTGCACGAGAAACATATATAGAATAAGATCGGCCATTCAGTCAAGTTATTTAACATAAACTCTTGACCGTTTAAGAACACGTCTTTTATCAGATTGTGGTTTGTCAGTCGGTATGTTAATACGTAGCAATCGATGACGTCTTATCTCTCCAGGCATACGTATCAGCCTACGTAAATATGTGTACAAGATACACTGGACGCCACGTACGTGTTTTGGGTGTCAACTATTTTCGTACGTGCTCCCTGCACGTATAGTACGAGGAATTAACGCTATTATATTAAATGTACATATATTGTAGATAAGGGACAGTGGAGTAAGGCCGTTACTAGTCCAGTCGCCGAAGGGACTAGCAAGAGATATCACGTAAAATATGCGTGTAAGGTAGGTAAAATATTTGCAAAATAAAAATCAGCGGCAAACAGCCTTTATGGCAGGACCATAAAAGGCCGCTAGTAATAAATCGTAGCTCCTTCAAGTTCTAAAGTCAATTTTCGTACACGAACCGAGTAAGACAGTAGATGGCTGGCGAAATTGGATATTGTTCATTTAGCCCTAAAGACCCGATAAACAGTGGTACATGACTTTCATTTAATCGACACGGTGAAGCTATCGCTATACTTTAGTGACGTCACAGATATTTAATCGCTTAATAATAATTACGATACGTTAAAATATATTGTTGTTGTCATAAAAAAAAAGGAATTATTCACCATATTTTTTTTTATTTTCGTAAAATGGCTGCCGTTACGACATTAGTCACTGGTCCGAACGAAACGATTCTTTTTCTGAAGGAAATTCGATTAAGCGCAGTCTCGTTCCCTGCTGGGAGTTATTTACCTATTTAATCGAGGAGTTTCTGGCTTTTGGCGTTGAGGGGGGGTAACAGTGAGACGAAGGGGGATCGGCGGAGGCCGCGGGGGAAGGGGAGAGGTGGCGTCGTCACGTGTCCAAGCTGCCAGACGCGTCTCGTGGCGCAAATGAGAGACGTTTGAGATTCGAAGGTTTGTCGATTCCAGTTAAATGGAGGGAAGTCGGCCGAGGATCGTCGAGGTTTTATTGGAAATGGCGACCGCGGAAAGAGTGGCGGGGCGAAGGACGAGGAGATAAAGAGAAAAGGGAAATAAAGAGAATCGCGTGAAACTCGACGAGAAGCTTCTTTGTTGGTAGTAAGAATTTTACGGCGGTAGGGGCTGGAGGAGGGGGAGGGCTCTGAGGCGATAGGGGTAAGTTGGCTTACGATAAATCCTGTGGGACGTTAAGGGTGAACAATTATTGACGATAGTAAGTGAGACTGCGAGGTGACGAGGGGAGGTAGAGGGAAGAGACGAAGACGCGAAGAAAAAGAATGACGATTCGAGATTCGTGATGGCTGACTTTTATCTGACATATATATGAGCCGTTCAGTGCACACATCGATTAACTCCATAAAACAAAAAAGTTGAGAAATGCGATGAAGTAATGTATATTGTAAATTACTTATTATTCAATGGCCAAAAAAATTGTGCCATTTAATGGTGCTAATCTTTATTATTCAGGAAGGTTATTATAAATATAAAAAGTTATGACTATACCAAGTGCTTTGACACTTAAATTTAAGATTTTTCAAAAAGTAGATTCAATCGATGTGTGCACTGAGCGGCTCATATATATGTCTATATACATACCTATAGAGATATTACGGTATGGAAGGGTTGAGGGAAGATTGGTCGAGGCTCGAGCGAGTTTGCAATAAATCACAAGCCGGAAGCTAATTGTAAAAAATAACCGGACGTGCAAGGTGACGGCTGGTTTGGAGAGAGAGACAGTTAGTGAGGGGGGAAGTATGGGGGGGGAGCCCTAGAGCGGCAGC